ATATAACATACACACTGAGCTCCTCTGCGCTGGAAATCTGAATTCCCACATGTTCATGTCCTTGAGTGCCACCATGATGGTCCTGGCTTCAAGCAACAGGTCATAATCAAAATACAGGTATACCTACAATATGTAAAATCACTATCACTATCAGTGTGTGTCTATAAGACAAATGCTATACAGAAATGAATTTCATATTGAGATTCAGCTTCCCTTCTATGATTTATCCCATCACATATGTGCCAATACTTCTAAATCTAGAAAAAAAGAGGAAACCTGAAAACTTCTGGCCCAAAGAACCTCAATCTGTACAGGTTCTGTAGGTTGAGCACATGGAACTAATTCTCTCTCATTCAAGAACAGGGACTTCAAGACGGGCTCAGATATACGCTTGTGGTTTATCCATATTCCTTTTCTTCCTGTTTTTCTGTCTGACATTGCTGGAGCAAGGCATTGATACGTCCATTGATGTTGAGAAAAGAAAGACTGAACACGGTCATCCCAACTCTCTCTCTCTCCACTCCTCTCTTTTCTCGCTTCTCATTTCCAATTTTATCAGAGTCAGGGGGCCCATACCACTAAGTTTTATTAAAAACTCTCTCAGTCTGTGGGTCTACTTAACACTAATCTATTCATCCATAGACTCTACCTCTTGGTCTCACAGAGGGGTGACTTGTATCTGTGGAAAAATGCCCTGGCCTCAAATACAAACAGGAAAGCTTGGACCCTGGCCAGATACTCTCTAGTCCCACTAGGACACCACAGTTGAACCCTGCAGAGGCAGCCGGGTATGTTGGGTAATGGGATGCAAAATGATGCAGCTCTCCACTTGATTCCCTGGGCCTCTGGATTCCTGGCTCTGCTACAGCCCAGGCAAGTGGTTTGGGAATTGTGAGGAAGTGGGTGGAGAGATGGGGTGGAGGCTTCCTCTAAGCCAACCACAACTAACTCTTTGACTCTGTCCAACAAAGCCCAGACAGTACAATTATCTGGCTAATCTGACCCTTCGTGGAGAGGCCAGCTTAGACTAAACAGTGGCTTCCATCCTAAAGCTTCTCTCAAGTGCTAGAGGATGAGTATGAAGTTTCAGGGGGTTGAGATTGCTTATGTGACCCACCCAAGGATCCAGATGGGCCAAAGACAAGTCATTCAGACTTCAAGAAGAGTTTGAGAAGGAATGTCTTCCAGGGACAAATGCCCAAGTGACATGCTAGTTGGTTTCCTGACTAATTTACTTTCTGGCTTTCCATGGCTGGAAATGAGACCAACATTTCCCAGCACACGTGCAGCCCCTACAGACTCTTGAAGTGTTCCCATCATCTCTGTGTGGGTGTATGGCAGGTGTCCTGCTCTGCAAACAGATCTGGTACCTGCCACTTGGGCTGAATGCAGAGATAAGATACCAGAGGGAAATGAAAGCATGCCTTGGGGTTACCACAAAGGAGATGAAGTATGTCCAGCTTGGTTGGCAATGGAACATTTGCCAGATGGTTTACAGAAAACTGAGATTTGGGAAGAAAGATTAAAAAGCAGGGATTTATCACTCTTGGAAACGGATCTGCCAGTATCTGCGGAATCTGTCAGTTATTCGTTCTGCAAACATTTCCTTCCATTCTAGTTTGTGCCGGGACCTGTGCTGCTTAACAGAGGAAATCTGGTCATGGCCCCTCGCTGCAGGCAAATAACCCCACCCTAAATATATTGATGAGAAGGAAGGAGGGAGGTGCTGTGAAAGGACCCCTGAGTTCCTGGTTCAGCCAGGACTCAGGGAGGGAATCTCTGAGGAAGCCACTGTTAATTAAGCCAAGTCTTCAAAGGGTCCAATTTGCTCTTCTGAGAGATCACTCTAGGGATAGTGAGATGGTTCAGTGGGTAAAAGTGCCTGTAGTGTTAAGTGTAGGGTCCTAAGTTTGAATCCTTAGAGCCCACACTAAGCTCAGGGCAGCTGCAATCATCTGTGTCCTCAGTGCTGTTAAGGAGGAGGAGAGCTAGATGCAAGGTGTTCCAGAGGCTCCCCGGACAGCTAGCATAGCACATAGTACACACAGCAGCAAAACAAGAACCCCTTTCTCACACAAGAGGGAAGGTGAGGCCCAACTCCTGAAGTGGTCCTCTGACCACCACATACCTGCATGGTACACAGGCTCCTGTATCACCACCACCATCAACACATACACACACACACACACACACACACACACACACACACACATCCCAAAGACAGATCATCCCATCCTGGTTTTGGCATGAAGAATAAAATGGAGATTGGTAAACAAATAGAGCTGTATGGTTGCCGATTAAAAGTCTGGATGAGAGCTGGTAGCTGTCCAGCCAAGGCAGAACCTTGACAATTAGCAGTGGAGGAACTAGGGAATCATGAGATATGGAGGCAAGAGGACATGGCAGAGGGTAGGTATGGTGGCAGAGGGAGGATGCACAGGCTTGCAGCTAAAGTGGAAGGTCCAGGATGTACTCTCTGTTGAGAGGGGGGTAGGGAGAGATAGTGAGTTCTGTACTGGAGTCAAACAGTGGGACTGGTGTCTCACCTGGTACTGGCCAAACTCCTCTGCCCTTGGTCCCTCAACCTCACATGCTTCCCATGCCACTGGCTGCACATATTAAGAGCCCATCTCCTCTTCAATCCAACTCAAACAGCACTCAATCCTCAAAGCCATTTCTGTTTATGGACGGGACCACTGCTTCTTTAGTCTTCCCCACATGGAGCTAGCCAGCATAGTAGACGCTGGCAAATATTTGCAAAATGAACAAAAATAGCTCGCGTTTCTGCCATGGAAGGAAAATTAGTAGACACTGTAGACACTGGACTGACTTAAAAGCCACTGGATCATACTGAAGTTCAAACTGTAGGTGTTTTAATATGAAGCCAACTCCATCAATTTGATGCTCAACAGTTCACTCCCTTTTTCTGACTCACAGGGAAAAAACAGTGCAGGGAGCGAGACTGGGGGGAGAGGCCATTTCTGTTCCTGAGTTCCAAATGGAATTTCTTCCAGTCAATTTGTTCTTATTCACTGAAGGATGATGAGAAGAAGAGGGGGAGGAAGAGTTGTGGGAGAATGTGGGAGAATGGGTGAGTAGAAGAGGGAGAGGAAAAGGAGATTTACTAACAGCCACAACCACTCATAGCAAAAGAAGCAGCAAGAGGACAGATGGGATGAGGGAAGGCTGAGAGAAGGAACATGACAGAGAGGGAAGAAGAGAAAGGGAGAGAAATGAGAGGAAGAGGAGATGGAAGAGGAGGAGGAGAAGAGGAAAGAGAAACACTTGTGATGTCCTGTCACTAACTCATGAGTCCTCCCAGCCACCCCACTGTCACGAACTGATGCTACTATTAACCAAGAGCACAGATAAAGAACTGGAGAGGGGCCAAGTATTGCTCAGTCGGGACAACTAATTAAGAGGTGGAATTGGGATTTGAACCTGGAATCTGACTCCAGAGGTCTTTCTCTGATGTGCTCTCCTAAGGTTGAGTATGGTGCTCCTTCCTATAAAGGGGGTCTCAGTTTATTGATTGTGGAGTCCCTGGTCAGAAACTAGGAGGAATGAAGTTAAGTCCTGATTTCCTTTGCAGTCTGACCTAGCCCATGTTTCTTTCTACATAAAACAAGAGACCTGGATATTGGTAACAGAAATAATAATGAGGGATGGTACTCTCAATTCTGGTCTTGTTTGATGTTTCAAATAGCTGCATCCCAGCTACAATAATACAAGAAAATGACAGCCCAGAGAGTGCAAATCACCTGCTCAACACCTAGAAACAAGAGAGTCAAGATTCAAACATATGCTCTTCCACTATGGTGGTCTGAATGAGAATGCCCCCATAGGCTCATATATTTGGATACTTGGTCTTTGCTTGGTGGAACTGTTTGAGAAGGATAAGAAGGCGTGACCTTGTTGGAAGAGGTGTGTCACTGGAGGTAGACTTTGAGTTTTTAAAAGACTCTTTCTATCCTCAGTGTGTCTCCCTCTGCCTCCTACTTGAAGACCATGATGTGAACTCTCAGATGTTCCTGTCACCACGCCTTTGCTCTACCATCACGGACTCCAGCCCTCTGAAACCCTAAACCTAATGAAATGTTTTCTATTGTAGGTTGTCCTGGTCATGATATTTTGTCACAGTAATATAAAAGTAACTAACACATCCACTATACTTCATAGTCAAAGTGAAAGGAGATGCCTTGGAGTCATGGGTCATAGATGGGACACATGGCTTCCCATCTGAGCAGCTACACTTGTCTCAGTTTTGTAGCCTGAAATCCTCTTGATAGTCCTTCAAAGAACAGTTCTCTATCTGTGATGGCTGTTCTTGGTTGTCACCTTGACTACATCTGGAATTAACTAAAACCCAAGCTGCTGAGGTGGGAAGACCTATCTATTATTCAGATCTTTGAGGTTGAAAGATCCACCTTTAATCTGGGCCACACCTTCTGCTGGCCGCCTATATAAAGGATGTGGAAGAAGGACACTTGTTCTTTGCCTACTTGTTCTCAATCTCTCTGGAAAAATCTATTCCCTTACTGGCACTGGAGCCTACTTCATTGGAATTCTGGCATGCATATAAGAACAGTTGAGACATTTATTCTAGTACATGGAACTGGAGTCTTAGTCTAGTACATGGAAGTGGAGTCTTAGACCCTCCATTGGTAGACAGTCACTGTTGAACTTCGTGGACCACAGACTGCAAGTCACTCATATGTGTGCGTGTGTGTAAGTGTGTGTATGGACACACATACTTATATAGTACACACACACACACACACACACACACACACACACAATTCTGTTGTTCTGTTCCTCTAGAGAACCCTGACTAATACTCTACCTAAAACCAAAAGGTTGAAAACTTAGTGGACCAGAAAATTCTGGAACTTAATGAGACTCCTAAGTACAACCCAGGATTTTTCTGGCAATCTTTGTTCATTATGACCAAGGTTGCTCTTGGAAATGGCCACTGAGCTAGGGAAGGGGCCACCACCTACCTGCTCCACTCGGATCTCAATGTCGCCGTTCACTTTCTTCCCATGGAAATACTTTGACCTGCAAGGAAACCAAGAGACCTGCTCAGTAAGGCTCCATTGTCCTTTCCTCCATTCCCCAAAGGTCTGACCCTAAAGGTGGAAGCCAAAACAGTCTCAGCCTGCCACTGTCCTCCCTGACAACCCACTGCTTGGTATTTAGGGATAGACCGGTGGAGGAGAGGAGAGTGGATGGGAAGAGAGGAGACTCGACCTCCTGTACCTCAATTGCAGTCTCTAAAAGGAAGCCATACTCCAAACTTCTATGAATGATTTGAATGACTCAGTGAGACAAGGAAAACATAAACAGTGCAGTATTGATTTGGTGTTATTTTATTAAATTATACATATGTACTACCTCAAGGACTTATTGATCTGTTCCCTCATGTCTGTATCATGTGTCTAAGTATCAACCACTAATTCTTTCATCCACTCACCCAGCCTTCCATGACTCCATTCCACAAAGCTAATTATCACCATGAACTATTGATCAAGGCCAAAGAGAAGATAGCATTCTTATGACCTCACCCTCTGTTTCCCTGCTGACTCTCTAACCTTATTCTCAATTCCTCCCACTTATCCACTTTCCTCCATAAGCACCGTACTCCTGGACTGTCCTTCCTACTGCTGATTACAATTAAAATCAGTAATGGTGCTTAATGGCTGCATCCCACTGACTGGCAACAGGAACTCCTCAAGTCTGTGACTCATCGTTTTATCCGCAACACCACCAGAATGTGCAGCGCACCACAGGAATGCAATTGAGTATCTGTTGAATTAATAAATAAATGAATGAAGGGTTGAATCCGTGGTCTTCGTCATTTAATGTAAACAACTGCCATCATGAAGCATGCATTCTTATTTCTATCCTATCAAGGAGGGAATTCAAAATGCAGAGACTAAACACTTGCACATTCTACGGGGGATCTGCACCCAGGCCTTCATTCCTGTGTCTGTGCTTTCACTCACACAGAAAGAGTCAGGTCGGAAGGGTGCTTGGGGGTTAGCTATCTTTCCATGTGAAATGTGAAAGACCCCGTTTGCATTTCCCATTTCCCACTGCTCTCGCAACGAAACACATGCTTGAGTAATTTGCTGTGAACCAGACACTACATTAAACCTGTCTACAAACCTTCTTAGGGCTGGAGGCAGCACTTTTCTTCCTCATAGCCCATTCTCTCCTTTTCTCACAGCAGAAATGTTTATGAATTAGATAAACATTTATCTAATGTGGTCCCAATTCTCCCCTAAGTAAGGTATGGCCACATGACCCCCTTCTAATCAATAACTTAAAAGTATTACATTCAAGAACTTTCTCTTAAGTTTCTTCATTCTATTCTCTCCCCTGGAGCAGGGATGCTGCCAACTATTTTCTCAACCTTTGTTTGTTTCTGCAAACTCTTAGACTGCCCCACTCATCTGTCTTTACAGCCCCCATCAATTCTCAGCCAATGCAAAGTCTTCCCCAAGACCTCCTGCATCCTGTGCTGACAGCTTGGTGCTAGTGTCACCTTTCCTTACAGTACAGACAGACTAAGACGTCACTGAGGCTGGGCTTTTGTGCACGAGGAATGGTTGGTATGACCTGAAAGTGAGGAAGGTAGACCTGTCTGGCTTCCTTTCCCTTTCCTTCCTTTCTTTTTGTGTTTTTTTTTCTGTCTGTCTGTTCGTCTGCCTGCCTGCCTGTCCTTTTCTTTCTTTCTTTCTTTCTTTCTTTCTTTCTTTCTTTCTTTCTTCCTTCCTTCCTTCCTTCCTTCCTTCCTTCCTTCCTTCCTTTCTTTCTTTTCCTTCCCATTGATACTCTTCAATAAAACGTGTGTTTAGCTAGCCTCCCACAATGCAGAATTTTATCAGAAATCCTCAACAAGAGGAGTCATCAAATTCCATTCCACCTCCAGTATTTGTGGGGCCGGGAGAAAACAACAAATGGTCTACGAGGCACATGACTAATATTTAAAGTTGATGAATATTCTAATTTCAGTTCTGGTGCTGTCATACGAGATCTTACCAGAAGCAACTTAGAGATGAATGTGGTTTTTTTGGCTTACAATTCCATGTTACAGGCCATAATTTGGGGGAAGTTAAGGCATGAACTCAAGTAGTCATAGCACACCCACGGTCAAGAGTAAAGAGAAGATAAAGTCAACCTTGCCTGCTTGTCCTCAGCCATCTTTCTTTTGTAGGGAAGGATGTTTCTCACAATTGACTGGATTTTCCCAACAATTAGGGCAATCATCTACAGACGCATCCACAGGCCAATGTTATCTAATCTGTCCCTGTTTTGATGCCTCAAGAATTCTACATTGTGGCAAGCTGACACTTAATACTAGCACAATGAGTAAAGTTAGCAATTGTCTACATAAAATATCTGCATTCCTTCTTTGATGACTACAACTCATAAGGTCATAGAGTTCTACCCAGACTATGGCAGCATCGCAATGGCCAGCTCTTGGTCCACAGTCCTAATTCACATTCTTCCCTAGTTTCCAAGTTCCTCGTCACTCTGCCCCATAAATAACCCTGCAGATTCTGGTGTTCTCCCCTTAATACATGACCATTCCATCAACCCCAAGAGGAGATGAGGCAGGTTCACTTCCCATATCTTGTAGACAGAGAAGTCACCTTTCAAAACCTCATAACTTTTCCAGTTGTCCCATAGTTTCAGATTTTCAGGATTCAACCCAGAACCCCAAGTTCCATCCTAATGGGAACCCAGGCACTAGTTGATCCACTTTCTCCATGCATTGTTTCATGGCTGCTTCCAT